GGGGATCTAATAAAATTTTAACACTATTTTAAAACTCAAAATAAAATGTTACCAACAATAAATTTGGCCATTTTTCTTTTCCCAAATGTTACAAACATAAAACACCAACAATTAAGTACTTTGTTCATATAGGTGCTTAATGATGAAAAATGAAAGAAACTAAAAAGGCCTTTTACAGATCATTAGCCTCTTCCAAGAGGACTGTGTTCCTAAAATACACCTACACTGTTATATGCTATCCTGTTGTATAATACATGAAGCTTTTCTAATACCTAAAAGGGTATCTGAGGAAGGAAAGATTTTTGTCAGCATCTGTGAGCCATTAAGTGTCATACTAATTACCCAAAGGAAAAACTTCTCCAGTGTTCTGGCATTTCCCATATGCCTACCACCTATAGAAAGGAAAAAAACCAAGATTTCTCTATCTGAGGCCAAAAAATTTCAAGGATTGCTCTAAAGTATTGGTTACATTAATATTACCAGTTGATAAAGAGAATTTTTTTTTAATCCCCAAGAACCACCACCTCACCTGTTTCTTATTCCTGGTGGGAGATTTCTTTTGCCTACATCAGTTGCTGGATTCATGCAGGCAAATAAACGGAAGTCAGGGTGACGAACCAGTGGCTCTGTTAAGAGAAAATTATAAATTCTCAAAAACTTGTAATAATCAAGTAATCAGTCACAATTCCCCAGGGGAAGACCATCTAACTCCAGAGAACCCCAGGCCCAGCAACCCTGCCTCAGGCTCAGCCAGCCTGGTGCTGGCTACTCACACCACCCTTGCCATTTCTGAAATCTCACTGACATCACCTTCCAGACCTACGTATACAACTTAATCTTATGCTGCAGTTCCACAGTTTTTTATGGCGTGTTTATTCATTGTTATCTTCTGTCACCCATTCACTCATGCATATTTTATTCTCAGTGTGTGTCTATTACCCACAACCCAAACATCTTAACAAATTATCGTATTTTTCTTTGTATTCTCCATTTCACCTAACAACAGTTCGATGTACTTTGCAGAAACAAAGTATCTAAGAAACGGGGCAGGTGTGGTGGTTCACACCTGTAATCCTAGCTCTCAGGGAAGCCGAGGTGGGAAGATCACTTGAGCTCAGGAGTTTGATACCAGCCTCAGCAAGAGCGAGACCTCGTCTCTACTAAAAATAGAAAGAAATTAGCCAGACAATTAAAAATAGAAAAAAATTAGCCAGGCATAGTAGCACATGCATGTAGTCTCAGCTACATGGGAGGCTGAAGCAGGAGGATTGCTTGAGTCCAGCAAGTTTGAGGTTGCTGTGAGCTAGGCTAACACCATGGCATTCTACCCGGGCAACACAGCAAGATTCTGTCTAAATAAAAAAATAAAAAATAAATATCTAAGAAATGGACAAATTCCACTGGGAGGACCATGCTATCCACCTAACCAAAAGAATCTCTCTCTAAAGTGGCCAAAAGGCTTAATACTGAGTCAAACCCCAAGAGGTTCAAGTGCTACCTGTGTCTCCTCGATCCAGTAACACCAGGGATCCAGAGGACCCTTCAAGTAAACCACTCAGACATTCTAATATTTCTGGAGCAGCCAGATTAATCTCATCCAACAAGATCCACTCTCCTTTCTTTACAGCCTGAGCTAATGTACCCTAAAAGAAGACAAAGTAAAATGTTAAAAATCCATGTCAAATAAAGACACACTCACCAAGAGCAGTTATGCAAGCAGGGTTAGAAACAAAGGCAATGGCTAATACTTCATACTCATCCTATTCAATGAGCCTACACCATAACAACCAAATGACCATGAGCTGATCGGTAGTTAAGGCCAAAATGTCCAAAAGAGTCAAGGCAGTATCTTTGAGTCTAACAGTGAGATGCAATAAACTAGATCCTATCATTATGTGGATGGTCAGGTCAACAACTTACATCATATTCAGGTGTTTAAAGATACCCAAGTGGCTATTAAAAGAACTCGAAATAAATATATGGTGAGGCTATGAGTATAACAAAATTAGACAAATGTTTGAATCAAGAGTGTGTAGTGGTTGACATACATAGCCTTTTACACTGGCTGAAGATCAAAAGGAATCTTTCCTTGGCTCTAGTCCACTGATTTTATTCTTCAAATTCCATTTTCAAGAGCAATAAAAACAAATCTTACAATCCACTCAACTGACACATCAAAAACTGCTTTATTATTATTAAACTGCTTTATATTTTTGTTTTCATGCTGATCCTAACAAAGAATCTAATACAAATTTAAACGTAAAAATAAAAAAAGAATAAATGTATTCACTCCAGTACACTGCTAAGTCATAAAATATAAGCCTTACTTTAAGAGCACTTGACATTTTTATTGGTTATTTCAGAAATAATGGTATTAAGATTAAACAATTATGACCAAATTTCTCACACCCATGAACATAAGGTTGAGCTCTGTTAAGCTTCTCTTAACAAAGCAACATCTCAAGTAAGACTCCCTACCTCCTCTAGGGCATGAACTAGAGTACTGCAAAACAAATAAACAAAAAAACCCAAGTCATGAATGTTTAATCAAGTTGCTCCTTCTTAAATGTTCATAGGACAGCACACAGTATACTGGGATGTCCATGTCCTGGAATCAAAATTGGGACACTGAAGTGATCAACTCAAATCTCTCTTACATATGCATGCATGCTCTCACTCTCTTGTACATACACCGGTGTGTGCACGAGCTCTCTCATGCGCATGCACGAACGCATGGCAATGAAAGTAGTTCACTAGGTGTTATCAATTACATCTTTAAAAATAATAACAGATCTAGTGATGCCATTTTTGGGTATTTATCCAAAAGATCTGAAATCAGTATGTCGAAGAGATGTCTGCAATTCCATGTTCGTTAGACTATTATTCACAATAGCCAAGATGTACAATCCACCTAAGTGTCCATCAACACATGAATGGATACAGAAAATGTTGTATATATACATATGTATACACGATGGAATGCTATTCAGTTTGAAAAAAGAACAAATTTTGTCATTGTGACAACATAAATGGAATTGAAGAACATTATGTTAAGTTAAACAAGCAAGGCACAGAAAAGACAAATACCACGTGTTCTCACTTGTAAGTAGAATCAAAAACAACAACTAAAAAAGGCAGAGAGTAAAACAGTGGTTACCAGAAGTTGTGGGGAGAAGGAGGAATGCGGAGATGACAAAGGGTACAAAGCCTCAATTAGACAGAAAAAATGAGGGTTTTTTTTTATCTTTGCAAGATATATTGCACAGCATGGAGAATATAGTAAATAATAATATGCTGTATATTTTAAAATTGCCAGCAATTTTAAAGACAGCAAATTTCAAATGTTCTTACCACAAAATATAAGTATTTGAGGTAATGGATATATTAATTAGCTTAATATAGGTTATTTCATATTTTATTCATGAATCATAACATCGCTTTGTACCCCACAAATATATAAAACTATAATTTGTCAATTTATAATTTTTGTTAAATTGTTTTAAAAATATTAATGGTGGTGCTCATCAAGACTTTATAATTACTATTAAGGACATTTTTCAAAATTTCCCTCCCAATCATTATTTGTTTTAAAATCATACACATCAGCACTAAAAATATCAACACAAAGAGAATACAAAATAGTAATCTGCCTAAAACATGTATTTTGTGTTGCATCAACATTCCCTTAACCTAAATAACTAAAACAAAATACCTCTACAAATGCAAATAATAGGACATTTTCAGTCATCTTCATCTGTTGTTGGGCATGGTTGAGTCTAAGACCAAATGCTTCCCATTTCTCCTTTATGAGCAACCCTGAAAAAGAATAAAGATAAGAATTTAACACACATTTTGAGTTGTAATATGTACAACTTTTAAATACAAAAAACATACCATTAACAAAACACACAAAAATTAAGCATCTTGGACAAAAGTGTAAAACACTAAAATCTAAACACTTAGATAATGCTAACTATATTCCAGACACTACATTAACTTGTGTACATATGTGTTAATTAACTTCTTTGTCCCTCACAGCAACTCTGTAAAGCAGTTACTCTAGATGAAGCAGGACACTGAAGTTAACCAAGCTATCAAAAGCCCCTGGACTGCGGAATCTGGCTTTTTAGAAATTAGCTATTTCAGAGGAAATGTGATTGACGACTAAGCACTACAAGAGCACATCAATACTACTAGTCTTTTGTTTTTGTGTGAAATCATACCAAGAATCATGGGGGCAACAACACTTCATAATTAGTCACCTTTGCCCTAAGTCCTAGAAAGCTCCAAATTGTATTGCTTTATTCTTCCCCCAAACTCTTCTCTTAACTCTGCTGAGTTGCAGCCTCGTGCCCTCCCACCAGCAGTCTGGGTCACATCCTTACCAGTTTCGCTCTCTTTTCCATCCTTGTTAACAGCAGACTTGTATACATGTTGCATTAGTCTGAGGAGATCATGCCAGCGTTTTTGCCTGTAACAGGTCTGAATGTGCCCCAAGAACGTAAAGTTTTGTTTCTTGGAAAATGTCTGGGCAAAGAGTTCTTCAAATGCCTCCCGTAAGGGTAGCCAAATAAGCTTATGGTCCACTGGTTTGTAACTGAAACAAAAAGTAAATATGACTCACAAACTTCTGAAGTCAACAGAAATTAGAAAGCACGGCTCAGAAAATAGGAGTAGATCTAAGATTTCATTTAATTGAAATCAGAAATTCTACCAAAATCTATGTTAAAGTTTTAAATTATAATCTATTTTCCCCTATCCCAAGTACTTAAAAGGCCTATATTAAAGGTAAAAACTATCATTAATCAGTGTTATAAAAATATTTGAAATTCCTAGCTGGATAGTAAAAGGCATGTCATTTATTTTACCAACATGTTTAAATAAACATGTATAGGACATAATAATAAACCATACTTAATTAAGATTGAGCAAAATATTTTTAGGACATTTTAGAAGAAAAAACTACAATATCCGAAAAGGAACTCAGCCCATGCATTTTCACTCAGGGGAGGGGAGGGAAGGAGAGAATGACGACGGTATTGCTTTCAAGGGAAAAAATATTAGTTGGGGGACATGAAAAAATTTTAGAAACTGCAATGGTTTGTGGCCCTCCAAAGGTCACTCGACTTTTACTTCTCAATATTTAGATTCTTTCTTATTTCTTAGTGTTAAATTTCTCTAGGTGAGGAGCCAGAAAATTCATTAATTTAAATTTAATATTTGGGGGAGGAAGGGGATAATTTTTTTTACAAGTTGAGAAACACTGCTCCAGCTTAAAGATAAGTTACTCAAGCAACGCTAATTGTCCCTAGAAAATCCTAAATATATAATTTTCTGTAGCCTAAGATATTAAATATTATGTAATTCAAGGAAATGAGATAAATTTTATTTCTAAGAAAAAATAAGTTGAGAACTGAAAAGATACCAAATATGTTTCACAACAATCAAGCAAAATTAGAGAACTCATGGATTACTACCGACTCACCGGCCTAGTGATGGAGGAACAATGAGATGAGTAAAACCCCATGGCCTGATACTGAGCATTGGTATTAAAGAGTCTGGTTCCACAGAGAAAAAGTATAGGAATTTCAAACCCACTGTTACTTACCCATAGGCACTAACACATTAGTAAGGACATTTCTTTACTCCATTTATTCAACAAAAATTTATTGAGCACCTGCTATATGTGGTTACGCACTGAATCAACAAGACCCACAAGCTCCTGCTCCTATGTAGCTTGCAATCCAATGAAATATACAATAAAGAAATACTCTGCTATAAAAATATGAACTAGTGCCATAAATATAAATAAAGTAGGGTAAAAGGAGAATGGGTGGTGGGGTTATTGGTAATTTGAATATTATAGTCAGAAAACACTTTGTTGAAGAGGGGACATTTGACAGACACCTAAATCAAGCAAGGAAGTGAGCTAAGCAGGTATCTGTGGGTGACAGGGGATGCCACACACAGGAAATAGCAAGCATCTAGGTACAACATGGAAGAGAGTGGCTGGAGCTCAGCAGCACAGGCCAAGGAGGGAGATGATGCCAGAGAAGTGACAGTGCCAAATTATGAAGGGCCTTAAAGGACAAAATAAGCCTTTGGGTTTTATTCTAAATGGATTGAGAAGTCAGTGGAGGAATTTGAGCAAGATAATGATGCAATCTGATTACACTTAAAAAGAATCATCTAACTACCAAATAAAAAAGAGACTGCAGGGAGGTCAGGACTAGAGGCAAAGATAAGAGACGAACGCAGTAAGATCAGTCAAAAGATAATGAACCAGAATGACAACAAGGGAAGAGGTGAGAAATTAAATAAACATAATGTCACTTACATAAAATTGCTAGTCCTGGAAATAGTATAAATGGAATCCAAAGCTACCTGAAGCAGCAGAGTAACCCTTAAGAACAGAGACATTCAAGACTTTCTTTCTGTTCTGCTTGGGTTCAACTCCTGGATCTGCCGCTATCTTGAACAAGTGACTTAATCTGTCTGTGCCTTGGTTCTCCCATGTGTAAAATAGGGGGAATAATGGTATGTTCTTCATAGCTGAACACCAATAAAGGACTCAAAATCATGCTTAGATAAATGGGACCTGATCAAATTAAAAAGCTTCTGCACAGCCAAAGAAACTGTCACAAGAGCAAACAGACAACCTACAGAATGGGAGAAAATTTTTGCATGCTACAAATCCGATAAAGGGTTGATAACCAGAATCTACTTAGAACTCAGGAAAATCAACAAGAAAAAATCAAACGACCCTATCAAAAAGTAGGAAAAGGACATGAACAGAAACTTTTCAAAAGAAGACAGAATAATGGCCAAAAAACATATGAAAAGATGCACATCTCTAATCATCAGGGAAATGCAAATCAAAACCACAATGAGATATCACTTATCTCCAGGGAGACTGGCCTTTATCAAAAAGTCCCAAAACAATAAATGTTGGCGTGGATGCGGAGAGATAAGAACAATCATACACTGCTGGTGGGACTGCAAACTAGTGCAACCTCTGTGGAAAGCAATATGGAGATACCTTAAAGAGATACAAGTAGAAGTACCATTTGATCCAGCAATCCCGTTACTGGGCATCTACCCAAAAGAACAAAAGATACTCTATAAGAAAGACACCTGCACCCGAATGTTTACAGCAGCACAATTCACAATTGCAAAGATGTGGAAACAACCCAAGTGTCCATCAATACATGAGTGGATTAATAAAATGTGGTATATGTATGCCATGGAGTACTATTCAGCTTTAAAAAACAATGGTGATATAGCACCTCTTGTATACTCCTGGATAGAGTTGGAATGCATTCTACTAAGCGAAGTATCTCAAGAATGGAAAAACAAGCACCACATGTACTCACCATCAAATTGGTATTAACTGATCAACACATAAGTGCACATATAAGAATAACATCTATTGGATGTCGGGCAGGGGGGAGGGGGAAAGGGGAGGGGAGGACCGGTATTTGCATCCACAAAGAGTGCAATGCGCACCATCCGAGGGATGGACACACTTGAAACTCGGACTTGGGGGGGAGTGGGGAGGCAATGGGCAACATACATAACCTAAACATCTGTACCCCCGTAATATGCAGAAATAAAAAAAAAATCGTGCTTAGCACATAATGAGTGTCATAAGGAGTTAGCAGTTACAATTATTACTATTATTAACTAGCTCTGTTATTATTGATCTGTTGAATTTATGAGAGTGGCTTAAAATTTCAAATTAGACCAAGTTCCTTAAAAGTTCACTCATTTAAAGCTGAACATAGTAGCTAAAGCAGTTAAGTCAATATATGTTTCAATTGATAAAAAAAAATGAAAAAGCATACATTCCAGAAAATAACAAAATAAAAACAACAAAATCAACTGCAACACAAATAAATACTCAATGGGAACAAACCTGACACCTGGCAGAACTGTGGAAATAAACTCTGAACCACTGCAGAGTAAGGTTTTCAAAAGTATCTTCCACAGAAAAGGCACCTTAGAAACAACTGAAATGCCATGAGGGGGAGGGTCCAGAACAGCTGCCCCATGCAGAATAATTCAGCATCTACCTATTACACACACTGGAACTACGTAAGAGTTCATTTGACAACAGCTACAACAAAAGAAAATGACTCTCCAAAATTATAACACATGAAAGAACAGAAAGTATAAAAGGGACATAAAACAATAGCTGCTGAGTATTTAAAATGATAAAAAAAAAATGCTGTATCTTCACTTGACGGTCAGCGTTCTAAGTTCAAAAGCATATGCTTTTGCCCAGCCCTCTTCCGAGTAGTTTCTTTCAGACTGTTCTGTGGGTTACAAGGAAGGCAAGGGACTGGCTGTTTTATTTGTTTCTGTATCTTTAATTTTCCTCTGTTTTTTTCTTTCCTTTATTGCCAAGTTCTCCAAGGAGCACCTCCCCTTTTCTATGTATCTGTTTCTCCCTCAGAGGCTGACCCTCCCCAGCCCCTTCCCTATAGTCAGTGCTATGAACCTGTGCTCTGTATTTTGACATTTAGTGCTACACTTTCTCTTTATGGATGATTCCATCTGTTATGTCCCAGTCCTCAGTGCCCTCTACACTTTTTCTTAGAGTCTCTTAAGCTAACTTCACCCACCAACTGTTGCACATTGGTTTATTTCTCTACCCACAGGTAATGTGAAGATCTATGTTCTGCTTACCAGAAGCCCACTTTAAATATAATGAAAAAATGAGTTAAAGATTAAGAAAAAGACATATCACACCAACATTAATCAAAAAGCAAGGAGGGGCCGGGCGCGGTGACTCACAACTGTAATCCTAGCACTCTGGGAGGCCAAGGCGGGCAGATCATTTGAGCTCAGGAGTTCGAGACCAGCCTGAGCAAGAGCAAGACCCCGTGCTCCTAAAAATAGAAAGAAATCAGCTGGACAACTAAAAACACATAGAAAAAATTAGCCGGGCATGGTGGCGCATGCCTGTAGTCCCAGCTACT